GGGTGAGGGCAATCATTTGACATGCGCGAAAAGCTGGGATGTTCGAGGTTCCACTATGTCGAACATGCCATGCGCCGCGGCGGCAACTGCCCCTCCCCTCCCCCGAGCCACATTGAGCAAAAAAATTCAATGGTGTGGGGATAAAAGGGAATTTAGTTTCAGAACACTCACATTTCAATTGACACTTCCATTACGGGAGCTCCCTAAAGTTCCTCCGCCATTCCATTCTTCCAGACCCACTAGCAAGCCTCATCTTTCTCCAACCCTCTGTGACTCTGCCTTTTTTGGCGTTAAGGGGGTTGGGGGTTGGGACCAAGCGGCGGCGCTTCTTTCAGCGCCTGGCGCTCTCTCAAGCGAAATAGTGTAAACTCGAACATTCCAGCTTTTCACGCATGTCAGCTGGCTGCCCTCACCCCCCACACCCTAGACTGGCTACACTCCCCCTGGCTCACGGATTCCCCGCTCCGCACTGAGGAAATGGTAGATGGCAATGAATTCAAACGCTTGGGGTTCTCAAGGATTCGCTGTGGGTGGAGGCAGCGGGTCCCGCAACGAATAGAGACCTTCGAAAATTACTCCCAACCTTATTGGAGCCCTCTGCGCAAAAGGCGATATTTTCTCTCGATATCGATCGACATCAAGTAACCCGATGAAATTTTTATTCTGACCGCGGCGCAATGTGGTTCGGAGGGGGTAGGGGGAACAGTCGCCACCAAGGCGCGTGCGGCAACAGGAAATTCGTGTGCCAGGGGGAATGTGGCCAATTCAGGGGGGTCGGGGGTGGGGTGAGGGCAGTCACTTGACATTGCGCGAAAGCCTGGAATGCTTCGAGGGATTTTTCCACTTATGTTCATTTTGGGGCCCGCCATGCGCCGCGGCGGCGACTGCCCCCCCCCCCCCCCGAGCCACATTGAGCAAAAAAATTCAATGGTGTGGGGATAAAAGGGAATTTAGTTTCAGAACACTCACATTTCAATTGACACTTCCATTACGGGAGCTTCCCTAAAGTTCCTCCGCCATTCCATTCTTCCAGACCCACTAGCAAGCCTCATCTTTCTCCAACCCTCTGTGACTCTGCCTTTTTTGGCGTTAAGGGGGTTGGGGGTTGGGACCAAGCGGCGGCGCTTCTTTCAGCGCCTGGCGCTCTCTCAAGCGAAATAGTGTAACTCGAACATTCCAGCTTTTCACGCATGTCAGCTGGCTGCCCTCACCCCCACACCCTAGACTGGCTACACTCCCCCTGGCTCACGGATTCCCCGCTCCGCACTGAGGAAATGGTAGATGGCAATGAATTCAAACGCTTGGGGTTCTCAAGGATTCGCTGTGGGTGGAGGCAGCGGTCCCGCAATGAATGGCGTCCAGTCAATAGCAGTATAAAATCATCGCTCCTAGCATGTGACCCGGTAGAATTTCTACTTTTTCTACAGTCCCCAATCATTACTGCGAATCCCGACCCCGACGGAGCCCTCTGCGCAAGAACCGATATTTTCTATCGATATCGATCGACATCATGTGACCGGATGAAATTTCCATTCTGACCACGGCACAGTGGGGCTCGGGTGGGGGGACAGTCACCATCAAGGCGCGTGCGGCAACAGTAAATTCGTGTGCCAGGGGGCATGTGGCCAATTCAGGGGGGTCGGGGGTGAGGGCAGTCACTTGACATGCGTGAGAAGTTAGAATGTTCAAGTAAACACTACTTCGCTAAGCCGCGAAGGCAACAGCCCCCCCCCTCCGAGCCACATTGACCCCTGACCACTGCCCCAATCAATACTGTGATTCTGAGCCTCCTTCGAGCCCTCTGCGCAAAAACCGATATTTTCGATCGATATCGATCGATGGCATGTGACCTGACGAAATTTCAACTTTGACCACTGCCCCCAATCATTACTGCGAATCCCGACCCCGACGGAGCCCTCTGCGCAAAAACCGATATTTTCGATCGATATCGATCGATGGCATGTGACCTGACGAAATTTCAACTTTGACCACTGCCCCCAATCAATTACTGCGAATCCCGACCCCGACGGAGCCCTCTGCGCAAAAACCGATATTTTCGATCGATATCGATCGATAGCATGTGACCTGACGAAATTTCAACTTTACCACTGCCCTCAATACTGTGATTCCCAACCTCATTCGAGCCCTCTGCGCAAAAACCGATATTTTCAATCGATATCGATCGATAGCATGTGACCCGACGAATTTCAACTTTTACCACTGCCCCCAATCAATTACTGCGAATTCCCGACCCCGACGGAGCCCTCTGCGCAAAAACCGATATTTTCGATCGATATCGATCGATAGCATGTGACCTGACGAAATTTCAACTTTGACCACTGCCCCCAATCATTACTGCGAATCCCGACCCCGACGGAGCCCTCTGCGCAAAAACCGATATTTTCGATCGATATCGATCGATAGCATGTGACCTGACGAAATTTCAACTTTGACCACTGCCCCCAATCACTGTGATTCCCACCTCCTTCGAGCCCTCTGCGCAAAAACCGATATTTTCGATCGATATCGATCGATGGCATGTGACCTGACGAAATTTCAACTTTGACCACTGCCCCAATCAATACTGCGATTCCCGACCCCGACGGAGCCCTCTGCGCAAAAACCGATATTTTCGATCGATATCGATCGATAGCATGTGACCTGACGAAATTTCAACTTTGACCACTGCCCCCAATCATTACTGCGAATCCCGACCCCGACGGAGCCCTCTGCGCAAAAACCGATATTTTCGATCGATATCGATCGATGGCATGTGACCTGACGAAATTTCAACTTTGACCACTGCCCCCAATCAATACTGTGATTCCCAGCCTCCTTCGAGCCCTCTGCGCAAAAACCGATATTTTCGATCGATATCGATCGATGGCATGTGACCTGACGAAATTTCAACTTTGACCACTGCCCCCAATCAATTACTGCGAATCCCGACCCCGACGGAGCCCTCTGCGCAGTAGGACCCAGCTGCCGTGACAGACAGACACACACACACACACACAGACAGACATACTACGCCACTTATATATAGTAGGATATTCTGGAAATTCATAGATAATTGAGATTGTTGTTCTATTCCTCTCACACCCGCCCGTAGTGATTTGGTGGTATGCATATTTTTATTGAAAGATGAGGCTAGTATGCATATCTATCTAGCAAATCACATGTGAGAGGAGCGTGATAAGATTACCAGTAATGGAGCTTGTTCACAATTTGATCATGTTGATCCCACTCCCAGTTTGACGGTTGTCGTTGTGTAACTTGATGATTATTAATTTTGGTATTTGATGTTGTTTACCTAGTTCTCCTTATCATCCAGTTCTGTTTTCTGAAGCCTTTCTTCACGATATGTAATATTTTTTCATATGTACAGATAAGTTCTCCTTCATTCACTGTTATTGTATATTTTCATGCCCCAAATGTTTGGGGACTAACGGCTGGGTTCAGCTGGGAGATCTTTTAGTCATTGTCGCTTGGGAAGGTAAGGTGTCATGGGTTAATGGAAAACCTTTGCGTCCTTCTTTTTGACGACGTCATCACAGCACCACGGCATCTGTTTGGAGGAATTGTTCACGGAAAAACTTTCCCTCTGACAAAATCTTGCCTCCCTGCTCTCACCAGAAAGTGGTACATTAGCCCCCTTGCTTCAAGAGATAACAAAAAGAACGAAAATGAGCGTGGGTTTTGTATTAATCCGGGCATTCAATGTGGCCATAAAAACCTTGAATTCCCGCCGTAAAGCTTTCACAACTGTTGGCGTCGGGAGCCAACACGTGAAAGTTTTGGAAGCGTAAAGGTGAACGGGTTTCATGTTAGACCTTCCCTGAAACTTACACGTGGCTTCGCACTGCCATGCACTTCGTCACAAAAGCACTTCCGGTCCCACCCACCGTAGCGGATGCATTCCAGCAGATGAGAAGGAACAGCTTTTCCGTGAACGATTCCTTTAGTTTCATGGCCTGTGACGTATACTAACGATAAGTTCCGTAGTGGAAAGAGATTGTAGCGATACCATGGGGTTCTGCAGCTATAGAACTGCGGGCAGGGGATAAAGAAATATGGCTTCGGAAATTATGGGAAGAGACCGTAATAGGAAAGGTTACTATGGGATGAGAGTTGTCTTTCAATATTTTCCCCTGTGTAAGCGTCTGATCCCTATTTTTTGAAGGGTTACGAGATGTGTGGCTTAGTTTCGCTATAGAGAGGTCGATAGATGAGTAAGGGGAAGGAAATTTGAACATAATTCGAAACTATGAAAAGAGCTTATGGATAGCGTGATCACTCGCAACCAACTGTTCAGTTTCTTTTCGTTTTGAGAGGCGAACTCCCATGTTTCTTGTTGTCCCACTTTGGGTGCGCTCAGTGTTCATTATATGTAGCTTTCTCCTTTTTCCCTTTCGTGCGACAGTTATCGAAGTATCTCCTTTCATAAGTGGTGCATGTTAAGATTTCGGTGTCCATAATCAAAGTTAAGGGAACTGTATTAAATATGGAGTAGTCTCTGGATTTTTAGTCAGTAGATAACACGCATGTGGTGAGGTAGTGAGGTGTAAGATAAATAGGCGTAGAGCAGAAAAGCCTTCACTACATCTGGTTTGGTAGGTAGTTCTATTCTCGTGAATGCTGTTATGCAAAGATCCTTCATTCATCAGCAATTATTTAAGCAGATGCTCCTCTTGCGCTTTTTCTTGAAGTATGATCAACATTTGAGTAGGTGTGACTAGCTGTATCTTTTCATTCATTGTGTTAGATTTACATGATTTATAAGTGTCGTGAGCCAAACAGGTAAGTGAGAAAAGTTTGTGCCATTTCGGTCATTTTCAAAGAGTTGTTGTATTGTATCGATTGTATAATAATATCCAGATATTTGTTGTGTGGTTACTATGTTCTAAGACTTTTCTATCATGTGTGTACGCATTGGTGGCCTATTTCAAGTTAGGAGTGTTTTGCTTGTATAGAATCACACAGTGGAAGATTTTTAAAAAATGCTGCTGAGCCGCAACATGCAACTACTGCGATGCGCTTGGCCGGTGGTGAGTCCGAGATTTTTCTTGTTCGCAGTAGCCGTTTATGTTTTAGAATATGATAGCGTCAATGCGCGTGAACGAACTTCAAACCGTGTTATCGATGTTCAAAATGCCCAAATTGGGTAAGAAACAGGAGTTGATCCAACGTTGTACAGATTTGCTCCGCACGCCGTCCGTTCAGGCGCAGGTTGCGACTCAGGTGAGTTCCTAGAGAGTTGGAATGATGCAGTTTGTTTATTACGCGTTTCAGGTGAAACTGATGATTGGGAAGGGGAATCGAGTCGCGCCATATCCAATTCCTGTTAGGTGAGAGTTATACAGTCTTTTTTCTTTCAGAATACGTCCAGGAGATTTAGTGATCGCGAAGAGTGTGATCGTTGAACTACGATGCAATAAATGGTGCATGGAATTATAAAAAAAAAGCCGAGTTTTGTTTTCTCATAGCTGATCTGTTTGCAAAATACTGTAGATTTTCTTCGAAGAGTTTCAGAAATCTGTTGGTGCTTCGGGTGAAACCAGTCTGACGTAGAGTACAAGCTCTCAGTATGTTGCTGTGGTATTCTAGGACGATAAATCCAAGACTTGGTTCGAAATGACAAGATTGAATGAGAACGTTGATCCGTGGAAGTGACCCCTTATTAGTTCCATTAACGACAAATCAAAAATTAGCCAACTGCGTCGAAAACTGATGTTAAATTTTTAAAATCTTAACGATATATAATGCGCTAAGTATGCCTGTCTGTGTGTCTGTTGGTCCGTGTCACGAATTTGGTACTACCTGAGGACCAACTACCGTGTCCCGGTCAAGTTTTGATGAGTGCGTCAGTCATGAGGGCATGCGTCATGATATGTATAAAACACAAAGCTAGGCAGGGCTCTGCCCTCAGTTGGTGGGTCACCCACCAAATTGTGCGGTGTCAATGGCGAAAGTCTAGAGTTAGGTCACAGTGCAGCCTAGAGGTCTGGAAAAAATGGTAAAGATGTGTTCTGAGTTGATAATTCCAATGGCCGATGTCAGACTCTGCGATTGGAGCGATCCGGTCAAATGTGAATCGCGCGACCATCGCGATGGTCGCGCGATTCACATTTGACCGGATCGCTCCAATCGCAGACTCTGACATCGGCCAATTAGGGAGAACTGGCCGCGGTTTTTGGAGCCTTCTGGGATTGGACGAAACCTAATGAAACTAAACCTTAACTTAGGAGAACGCCTATGGAGCAGAAAAAAATTGATGTAGAAGAGCAATATCTAAGGTGTTCTCGGCATACCCGAAGTGTGAAAGCTTGCCCTTAGTAGGCGGAGCATCTTTAAGTGGGAAGAGTTCATTAGAAATCCTCATGATTCAGTTCCGAAGTTCCATATCTGAAAAAAAAGTGGGCGATGTAGACGAGGGAAGGGAAATGAGGTGCTTCTGGTGGTTGAACGTGCGCCAGAAAGATCAAAGTTATGCACGAAAAATTACAAGTCGTTTCCATAAAGCCAAAAAAGTGTATACAGTCCGAAAATGAAGAAAAGTCAACAGCCAGCTACAGGTGGGTGGGGCGTGTACTAAGGTGGACGGGGTTTGCTGCTAAGCTTATAATTCGGTTTTAAGGAGTCCCGTAGACAGGGAAATAAGTGAAAAGGTTGGACAATTGAAGGGACATGTGCTGTTGGTGGGTGGAACGCGCAGTGGGCGAAGTTTGCAGTAAGCGTTACAAGAATATTGACGGTCCTGTTTTATACCACTGCATGTGTGATGCACGCGAATGCGTGCGCAGCCAAGTTGGTTTTTCAGTCCATTGATACATTCTTGATATTACTTAGCCTGACGGAATAATTGTAAACGACTATAGCAATCTCATGCGTAGCTTTTCATGGTAACTAAGAAACAGCATGAACCAGATTTGAGCAAGAGCATTATTTTTAGCTCCTGCATTCCTCTTCATTATTTTGAATGAAAGTTGTTGAAAACCAAATTGGCGGAAGTTTTTTTCTATTCCATAAATTTGGCGTAGTTGCTCTCTGGAGGAAACTTGTATATGAATTTCACAAACGTTATACTTTTTGACATTTCGAAGTTAATTCGGTGGAATAACACAGAGCCTTACGCTCAAATAGGCCTCACACATTGACTTCTGCGTGCATCAAGGGTACACATGTTACGACTTTCTGTCCGGGGACGTTCTTGGATACTGCGTGACTACAACACTTGATGCTCACGGAAAATTGTTAAGCTCATGGCTGGTCGATATCTTTAGTTGAAAAATCACTGACAATAAAGAAATATGTTTGCGTTTTCGAATGCTATTATTCACCTATAAAGCTGTGCAGTAAATTTGGAAAATCTAAGTGACATAAATCATGACATGCACCAAGTGTAGGGCGTCGTAGTGTTATTAACAATCTATCAACTGATCCTCTCGATTGGATCCAGTCTAGGGGATAGTTTTGCAGCTAAACATCCTTTTCAGAGGTTACGTACCGAACGGTGGCATGATGAACGGCAATGCTGGTGGATACGGTGGCTATCGTGGTGGCCAGATGATGCATCCTATGCCAAATTCGTTACATCACCAGGTGAGGGAGGGCGATATGATTTGAATGTATCTGAAATGACTCCGAGTGAAAAGTGAGTTCTTGCGAGTTGGGACTAGTGTTAGGAAGGAGCTGTCAAGCAAAGTATACTATATTGTTTGAGAGAGCATCAGCGGGATCATATTGACTTGCTTTTCTGTTTTCCGGCGATACTGCATGTGTATTATTAGGTACCGGATATCTTAATGTCGTTTTTTCACCAAGAGTTTTGGACCAGCAATATTTCAGTTCAAAATCCGGGGAGTGAATTAGTTTAATCATAAAATGACTCACTAGGATCCCCCATTCTAACAGTATGAGTGGAAACCTCGTACGATTAAAGCTCGGAATTTTTTGAGTTAAAAAGAGAGGCAGGTCGGTTTTGACATCCTCTGACAAATCATCCCTCTCACTTGCTAAAAAGTTAAGGCCTGGACAAAGTAAGTATACAGCTGGTTAGAGTAGGGTCTGCATTGTACGACAGAAAAATTAGAACTTATCAGCTCAAGTGGGCAGTTTTTTACGGAGACTTTTTTGCAACATAGGGTCAAAAACGCACCCTTTTTGAGCACGCGTGAGTAGCAGGTGAGCACATTTATCAGAATATCTTGCGGAATCAAATTCATAGGAATGTTTGTGCATCATCGATCCATCACTGTAAAGTGTCCTACCATTTCAGCACAAGACTGGTGCAGCCCCGTCTCGACTGATTTAACTAGGGCCATCTTTTTGAAGACGATTGCGGGCATCCTTTCAAAAACTTCACTGTCTTTTGAGAAAACTGAGAAAAACCGATGAGCATTCCAAACGGTAGTATTCCCTCCAACAAAAGCAATGTTAGTTTGGTTGGCGGATCTGTAGCTCTCAGCCCGACTTTGATGGCATTTGGTACACACATGCGAATTTGCACACTGGACCCAGGAATTTTCAGAAAAAGTATAAAAATTGGGGGAAAGTTAAATTGTAAACCAACAATAGAAAACAATAAGCAACATATTTCGCAGTATTAATGAGCAAAAAGAACTTTCTGAGATATTGATTTTCCATAGTAATCGGCCCCAAAACTTCCTGAACTCAGAAAAGCGACACTAAGATATCCGGTACCTAATACTTGTGCAAGGTCGAGGAATGAATTTTTAACTTGCTCACCGGAACTAGCCACGAATAGATCTCGGTTTTGACAAGCTTGTTTGGGTTTCCATGATCACACGGTTACCATTCGTCATGGTTGTTTCGATCAAATCACTTCACCCGATGACGCATTTCACTGCAACTCGGTCTGGGTTGAAGGGAAGTGTAAGTGGGTTTTTAATTGGCCCAAAAGGCGAAAGCAGAACTAACGGCCAGAACCTTAGAGAGGCCTTCATCTTTGCGTTTGGTTTCAGAGGATGTGCCAGAACAAGTCAGGAAGACGGGGTCCTTGGGTGAGTTTTCACTTGTTGATATCAAATTAAATTCAGGAATATGATTGTTTTGCCTCCTTGGCGTAACTTTTGCTGTTGAAAACTTTTTTTATCGTTGTTCATTGCCACCTGACGGCTTTTGGCTGAAGGACAGCAAAATAACTTACCAAATTTATCGCGTCAATTATCTAATTCGACTCGTCAGTCAAAAAAAGAGCAATAATTCGTGATTTATGCGAAATCGAAGTATCAAGCTATGAGGTGGATTGCAGTAAATTATGCAGGTTCTCTCCCTTTTGGAGAGCTCAATTCTCAGGCGTAGGGGATTGTGTTGAAGTTCACTGAAAGATTTGTAAGAGAATTTATATATAGCGCATATAGAGTGTATGAAATATTCTAGCAAGAGAAATTGAGTGAAGGTATGGAGCTGTATGGTGGCCTGTAGTCATCTGCTGTCAGATTGTTATAGACGGTTTTTTCGAAGTGTTCTGACGAATTTTGAATTTTCCAGTGCCGTCCTATGAGACATCTTGTTCCGATTGATCTTCCCTTCTATGATTGTCACCAGACATTGCTCGAGCCGATGGAGCTGCCGGCAGTAATTTCGGGCGTTAAGTCGCCATGCAAGGTAATTTGTGAATGTCTTACAGGCTAAATTCTAAAATATTCTTTTCAAGCAATCATATTCGTTCATTGTACCGCGAGAACGGTTTACGAACTGGTCACAAACGGCGCCATTGCCAAGGTTTGAGGTTCAGCTCAGGTGGGTTGGTGGCTGTCCATTTTTCAAAACCAAGTTTTGGTGCTAATTATTGGATTGTCGAGGAACAAGTTTAGGTTTTTCCAAGTGCCTGGTGGTTACACTTCGCAAGAACTAGCCGACGATTTTCCTTTAAACTGCATGGTTCGTTTGGAAGAGCAAATTGTGCAGTTACCGGTGCGTCATATTCACCTTTTTTTGCCACATTCACCTTTTTTACCATTGAGTTGTCATGCTTGTGAAAGAGTAGTCTAAGGATGTTTCAAACATTTTTGGAACAATTCTCTAGTCTTAATCTGTTATAGGCGGTAATACCGACGAACAAGCCGAACGTTGAACCGAAACGACCATCTCGTCCAGTTGATATCACGCAGCAGTGCTTGAATGTAAGGGATCCCTCGAGGCCATTGCGACTGCTAATTGAATGGACCGGTGATAAGCGAGTCTGGGCAGTTGCCGTGTATCTAGTGAGTATTTGATCCTTGATAAAAAACGTTGTGACTGCAATTTCTGCAAATCTCTCTTTACATGTGGGATGTGAATTGGAAGTAATATAGCTTGGTTATTTGTTATGAAGATGTTCATGTTCATAGGTGTACCGTCTAACTTCGGATATACTTCGAGATCGAGCCATTGGAACCTATACTGGTCCTACATATGGTAACAAAGAGGCTGTGGTTCGTTTCTCAGTATACCACTTATTCTGTGGAGTCTTTCTTTTTTGTTGGTTTTTAATCTCAGTTGCTCTTCTTCAGGATCACCATCAAAATGAACATGTGACTAGGGACGTTATCAGGTCACGACTCAGCGGTGGAAACGACGATGACATAGCGATGGCGCAGTTGAAAATCAGTTTATTGTGCCCGGTAATCGTTACAGGTTCCATATGTTCAGCTTTTTTTTTCGCGCGCTCTACGATGATTAGAAGTGGTTCCTTCCACCCGTTAAACTCATATCTGTTAGAATGTACAATAACTACTGAGGTTTTTTCCAATGGAAAATTTTCTGCGAAGAATCCAAATTTTCATATCGTGTCACATACAGTCCATATCCGAGAGTTGGGGTAGGCGTGTCACCGGAAATGACGTGCACTTGATAGAAGTATGTGGATAAGCTGCTTCCAACATACATCGCTGGATATCAGCAAAGCATGCTGGCAACAGCTTATCCACGCACTTCTATCAAGTGCACGTCACTTCCGGTGACACCCTACCCCAACTTTCGGATATCGACTGTCCCTTTCGGAATAGATTTGTCTATTCTACAAAACGTGCTATGTTTCGCTTCTACACTCATTGCAGAGTTTTGAATTTTAGGCTTGCAAAAAGGTAGATCTAGTCAACAAAAATTAGCCCAACCGACGACTGGTTCGAACTCTATTTCTCCCAAGACCCCCTGGAAGAAGTCGACCAATGATGTTCCATCTAATTTGAAACGACGTTCTCTGAACAATTCGATATGAGGCTTCCCAAGGCGTTCCTTTCTAAAATTTGGTCTTTCCGTCAGATCGATTCTTGAGCTTTTTTACGTCAAATCTAGATCCTAAATAATTATGCGGTCAAGGCAATACAATCCAGTAGAAGGTCAAGAACAAGTTTTGACTAGCTCTACATTGCATGTTTGAATGATTTTATCACCTCTAGAGGGGCTTTTTTGGAGTAATGGGGTCTTTCTCGTAGACCCGCCTGAAATTTGACCTAATTCATAATGAAAACTGAAACAAATCTTATGAGCAAGTAGAACAGAGAAAATATGTGCTGATGATATATTAGTCGATATAAAGCAATTATATTCCGGAGCAGAAAATTTCAGTACAAAAACCGCTATGGCTCAGCGGTCACCCTGAAAAACCATATTCATGGAAAGGAACATGACGAAACTTTTTCGACAAATCGCCAGCGGAATGTCTAGAAAAGCTTGTGGTCAAGTATCAGTAGTAGTAGGGTATCCCATTGCTCTATTTCTCTTAGGAAAAATTGAGTTAGAGCTAGTGGTCGGTTTGGCGAATTTTTGTCAACTGGGCCACCCGGTCTGTAGGCCTGGAATTTAACGTGTTTGCAAAAATGTGAAGGAGGACGCAACGTTTTGTAGAGCGACCAAATCGTTCCCGTAAGGTGTATGAATGATGAACAAACTTTGGATTTTACAAAAAAAATTCATTCGAAGAAAAACGGCACTACTCATGAGACAACTAGTACGTCATGGACTATGTTTTTGTAGAGCGCACGCAAACTTGTGACCCTTCTCGGACTCTTGAGTGGCCAAATTCGTTCGTCGAAAAGAGATTGAGCAACTCGATCAATATATTATGTATTTGTCGCTTCTTTTTAAGCCAGAGATTGGTGTGCAACTTATTCGCTTACGTTTCGACCCGCTCGCTTCCATCGGTGCCTGTTAATCGAAGCAAGTTTTCGAAACAATTCGTCCTAGCAATTGAAACACATCGTCCAAGCAACTTTAGATTACAGAAAGGGAGAACTAAGGAGAATAAGCCATGAACGGTGTTGTAACTAGCTAACCTCTCAAAAGCCGAGCGTTCGAGGGTACCCTTGCTCAGGGACTATGCAGTCCTTTGCAGTAAATACCATATTGCTAAATCTTGGTAAGGTCTCACAAGTAAGCTTCTACTTGAACAGAGCAAAATGTTCCGAGCGAAGAGGGCCTCCGTAGCGATGTAGTGATGTTTTGTGTGGCCTTCTGAACCACTCGTGTCCGTCCTACTTTGACTATCTCATCGACTGGTTCCTCAACGTCAGATTCGATCCGTGTTGGCAAGGTGGCAAAACGATCATGGCAGCTATTGTAGAAGCCTGTCCAGCACGGAAATCGAAGGGCCAAAAGGGTTTCGTTCTGAGGTTATGACCATTTTGCTTTAGTTTTTGTCACTGCTCACCACCTAGTTCTTTTCAACGATCAGTCATCTACCACATCCATTCGAACATGTTCTTGCTGCGCTTGGTATGTACTATTAACATTTTATTGTTGCACACTTCCGTCTGCATTGCGCATACCTCTGTTTTATACCTTGGTCCCTCCGCTCACGATTTGTGTGATATGCTAGCGCTTACTGGAATTTGTACAACCGTTTATGTGATCTGGGCTTGACCATTCATGACGTGATTGATGGTGGTGTGTTTGCAGTGCAAATGATGACTAGATGTCCACACTACCAACGGTTGTGTTTGTTCAAGGGATGCTATAGCTGGCTGGCAGTTGAAATGCATTTCGTGTACA